AAAAACTGTTAAATGTATGATGCGACTCCCCCACACATCGAATCAATGTTCAAGTCCGCTTTTTGGTGTTTTGCCACAAAACATGAACCTGGCGGTGCCTAGAGCCCAAGTGGTGCTTTCGTGGCAAACACACGGTTACCCCATCTATGGATTATGTGAACCTGGCAACCAGTGACGTACTCGCGGGGCACTAAACTTCTTCCTAGCCAAGGGTCTCATCGGCATCGGCGGTTAACAGCTCTTGAGGTAGACACGTCACCTGAAGCATTTCACAGACCGCAATGGGAGCGAATGGAGGATGTTAGACAAAGTGGGCGTGGCAAAGCGGCCGGGATGAGCACCTCTCCATGGAGTACTTCTTCATTATTTTATTTGGCGAATGCCGATGAAGGTTCATGTGCGGCCCGCCGTACCATTCATACTGCTAGTTTCGCCGCTGACAATATCCAATGCTGGTGGAAGGTTTGTTCGAGCTTACTGAATACAGATATGTAGTAGATAAGAATAACAAATACAGCAGATAGAACCCAGATATGTAGTAGATAAGAATGGATATAGAAGGTTTGTAAGAATCTACAATTCTGCATCTGCGATCAGATTATCATTAATATCAAAATTTGCTCCCTCGGCTATGCTGTATCATCTTGAGTTGTCACCACCAATATATGTAACCGGCCTCTGTTCACACTTTTCACACGCACACTACTAACCCACCGAAAGCTACATTAAGATAACCTACACTTTCCAGTATGTCACAATCCCTCCAGCTGACAGACACATAAGCAAAAACCCATATGATTGACGTTGCTGAATGCGGTAATGGCGCATTTTGAGGCAAACTGCATCACCCTGACAAGAATAAACTCATGAACAGCGACGATTATGACGTCATGAGTTTAAATCACCAGATATGCGTCATAATACTTTTTATCAGTAACAAATATATTAAAAGTTGCATTAATGAATTGAGTTACCTGTTTCATTCATTCAATAGACAAAGCTTATGTGCCAGCTTAGCTTTATGGTAACATGACATCAAAAAGGGCTCATTTGCTGAACTACATAACGCCTTCAGTGAGCGGTCAAATCTTTACGCTGAGGAGACAGGGCATTCAAGGCAAGGAGCATGTTAAAAAATGAAGCTAAACAACCCTTCAAAAAATTCGGAGACAATGGAGAGCGCCAAAAGATCGCCCTCAAACTGTCTTTCACACGGCAGAGCTGAAAAAGGTTAGGCCGCTGAAAATATTCTTGTCATTCAGTGTTGAAATGCGCACAATTTCATCGCACTCAACATTCTGTGAAAGAAGATGTTTTAAATAGCTTTAAGCAATGAAAGCGTTTCAGCCTCTTTTCATGATGGGCAGGTGCTGAAATGAGTCTCCCTCGCTCGTGGGCGAGTGGACGCTTTTTTCTTCTGTCGAGCGGGGCTTCCACCATGGGACACTTAAGCCCGCTCATGACTGGTGCATGCAAGTTGCCTGGGATGAACGGATGTATTGGGATACAGAATAAGATGAATGGGGAGAACAGGGGTCGATTGAACGCGCATTGGGGTCTCTCGTTTTATATCTCCGGTCTGGAATCATGTATCGATGGGAGAGCCCAAGGTCGCCTGGTGCTCCAGCAGGTGCTTCCCAGCTAACTGTGACTGTTCGCACCGTTGGCGCAGTCACAGTGCAAACAATGCCACGGTTGTCTGGCGTTGTCAAAATCCTTTTGACTTAACTTTAAGCGATTTTGACATTCAAGCGCTGATTATTTTATACGAAAGTGAAACCGCATCTCATGCATTTGGCACCAATGAACTGTATCCATGAGTATTCATAAGTCGTTCAGATAAAACCATATGTCTAATCCGTGCGCTTTCCACCAAGCACAATATAATTGATGACATGATCTATAGTGCTCTAAACCAGTCATCAAGTGACGAAAAAGAAGGGAAAAACATAAGCAAAGCAGAGAATATCCCTTCCAACGGTCATTCTTTGACGAAACACGCTTAGACTGAAGTTCAGAGAGGCTCGGACCCTACACTCTGTTTAGGTCTCAAAGTCATTTGCAGAACACAGGACCATCCAGATAGGAAAATAAGTGAATTTTTTATAAGAGGTCGGCGACCAGACCTTAATGTGCTGGGCTCATCATGGTCGATAACGCGAACATGATTAGTGCTTTAATGTGTGATGCGTGCTAGCTTAAAATCGTGTTCCTTTATAAATGATGCCTGACTCGTGATGCGAGATACCTGTTTAACTGAAATCGTTTCCACGTACAGGTGAGGCGTGATACATGATGCCTATTTACTTGAGATCGCTTACTTGGCATTGCTTGCATGCATAAACGACGCGTGATGCGTGTTGTCTCGTTATTTGAATTCGCTGGAATCTACACGTATTTTTCGCGTATTTTACTTCTAAGTTAGATATGCACTGCATCGTAGTAACGGCTGGCAATTGCCTTCCCTCGCCTTGCATGTTGGTTGTGTGCCTTGAATGTTGGTGGCGTGCAAAAGCAAAAGCAATTAAAAAACAAACACGACAAAAGGAGTAGGATTGGCAGGTAATTTTGAATTCACTTCTGATATCAGTTTCGATAAAGGAATGTAGCCAAAATATCCGGATATCGACCTGTTTAGTCCTCTGGTTATTCTGCGAGGAATAAGGCTATTAACACCGTCTTATCTATATGCATAATGCTCCACGCAAACGCGCCTAGCAGCCCACGTTATATCGTTATCACGAAGGCGCGCGTCATAACACGCAATCTTGGCCGCACATTAAACCAGAAGAAGTTTCACCAGCGATGACTAAGAAACATGCCAAAAGATCAGTGAGTTGCGGTCTATAGACTGAGTGCCATCATAGCGTCGTAGACGTGATCCTTGTTCCGGTCAACGATACCGAGTACGTGGTTTGATTTTTGAGCAACTAATGATGGTTTCGGAAAGTACGAAGAAACTACATCGTCGAAAATAAATATGTTTTGTGCTGAGTCGCAGCACTTTGGTATTCAATGTATGTGGGTGAAAATAACAAGAAGCCAAAAGATAGATAGAAAGACAGATACACCATACCTTTATCCCTTATCTTTATTTGACTTCAAATCGCGCCATTTTGACATGGCGCTTTGCGCCATCAAATACATATCTGAGTATTGCCAACGCAAAAACAGCCCCATTACCACTCACTTTCCTGATGCTTGAGAAACGCGTCAGACCAAATTAACCACTGGAAACTCTCTGAAACACCGCTCTGAAAGTGTATGAATGCGCACATGGCTGGGTTCTTATGACATGGTATAGTTCTCAGGTGTTCCATACTCAATGGGGAAAATATCACCGAAGGTATGCTGTTGTCGCCATCTTTTAGTTTGGAGACTTCATGAAATACTTGAAAGCGTTACTCTCCCTGTGAGGCAAGCTTAGCATTCGCACCAAGAGTCTGTGAAAAGTGTGCACGGTCTGTAAGTAGAGTGGAAGTAGTAGGTAAATACAGCATCTCTCTCTCTCTTCTCTGCACCTCTACTCTATCTCTCTCTCCCCCCCCTCTCAGCCTCTCGTCCCTCTCTCTCGCTCTCACTTCTCTCTCTCTCCTCTCCTCACTCTCCTCTCTCTCCTCCGTCCACTCTCTCTCTCTCCTCTATCTCTCTCACATCTCTCTCCTCCTCGCTCTCCCTCTCTCTTTTCTCTCTCTCTTCTCTCTCCTCACTCTCTGCTCTTCTCTCTCTTCTCCTCCAACCCCCCCCCCCCCCCCTCTCCTCTCCTCTCTCTCTCTCTCCCTCCTCACTCGTCCTCTCCTCCTCCCTCTCTCTCTCATCTCCATCCTCCATCCCCTCTCTCTCTCCTCTCATCTCTCTCTTCTCTCTCGTATCTCTCTCTCTCTCTCTTTATCGATTGATTGATTGATGACAATAAGCTTGGCGGTAGACTTTATAAACTGCCCACTTTGACATCCCTGTGGCCGTGCACATGAAATTAAGTGTCTATCGTCCATTAGCCGGCTTTTAGTCTAAGCCAGAGGAACTCAACCACAATGCTGGTGCGGCACTGAATTACGGGACTCCCACGTGACTCTTGTTGAAAACAATAACGAGTGATGTACTGCCGCGTTGGGGCCAAAATGCCTACCATGCAATCCTTTTCTGGAGGTTCTAGAGTGTAAGAGAGACTTTCGTATTCCAAGATGATTTGTATCCCCTTGGCTGGTGATCCAGCGTCAAACAAATAAAGCTGTCACTATGCAATGTTCTTTCAACTCAATCGTGTGTATTGTTGAATCGAACGGCGCTCGGATCGGTATCACCGCCAAGTTTTGCATGATGTGCTGACGTGAGTCCCGCCTCCCAAACGAGCCGAATTATGGGATTATTTTGCCTGCTCCTCCCCCCCCCCCTTCCCCGCCTCTATGAGCCGAATGGTGCTGGGAGTTTTAACATGGCACGCAGTTTAGTGACACGGTCGCCTGACTGCGGTCGAGTTGCCGCTGGCTGATTCTCAGCACCAGCCTCTGACTGACGCGGCGGCGTGGGCCGGCTTGGCACCTGCATGCATGCCGCAATGTCCACCGGCCTCAGCCGGGTTTCGGATCTCAGCCAGACTGCGTTCCGTGGCACGCGTCCAACCGTCTCCAAGGAGCTGGCGCCCCCGGCGCAGTTCAGTACGGTGCCGCGAGGCGGCTCTGCCGTCGGCCGTCGGCCGCGTCTGCCGCGCCGGCCGCCAGGCGCCGCTGCCGGCGGGGCGCCGCGCTCGTTGGCACGCGGATCGATCCCGCGGCGCGCCAGTGGCGTCCGGCTCCGTGCACGTGGTGGCTGGCAACGCCGGCGTCGTGGAGAGGCGTCGGCCAGTGGTGGCGCGCGTGTCAAGCGGTGAGCCCGCCCGCACGGCGGCCGTCGCCAGCGCCCGTGAGTACGCGCCCGCCCCGGTCCGGCTTGGCCCCGCCGCGCGTGCCTCCACCGACGGCCTTACACCACAGCATGTGCTGCCAGCGAGGTCGTTAGCATCATGGATCCTTCATCACCTTGTTGTCGACCGTGCCGGCCTGGGTCACGTCGGCGCTGGTGGGTCCGCCTAGCACAAGAAACCAGTGCAGGCGCGTCTGGCGCCCCCCGAGCCCCGGCGCCGCTGAGGGCCGTTCGTCAGACCCATGTCAGCCCGCGCCGAACTGCTGCCGGGCCCATTATGACCATGAAGAGTATAGGCTGGGGCGGACTCACATTAGTCACGGCCCGCGCATTGGGCAGCCCCATGGTTACGCCTGTGATTCACCAAATGGCTCTTTACTTTCTACACGTGTTGGAGATTTCTTCTGTGTGAAACAAAATTGCTATTAAATGATCGGGAGTAGCAGCGCGCGTTTTATCTTAAAATGCACAATGCATGCCTGAAAAAGCTGTTACGCGTGTCGTGTCGACTTCCAATCTTTTGCTGCGTTATTCACATCTTTGTCACGTCATTAGAAGCCTACCGCACGACTCCGTCTTCATTGAACTATGTCCCACTGAGTGAGACCCAGACGCCGCTTGTGCAAGACAGCTGCGCTGCAGAGCCACATCGGAGCGCACGGCGGGCGACGGCTGACCCTCCGCCGGCCCCGCCCTCGCGGCCCGAGCGGTTGCAGCTCGACACAGACGGCTGCCGGCGCGCCGACCCGCCCCCACCCCCGCTCCGCCCGTTTGGCTGTCCCGCCCCATTCGATGTCCCGCCCCTCTCAGTCAGAGCGTGACGAGCGTGTGCCCTGGGAAGTAGTTCTCCTTACTACTGACCGTATTGCAGTTCCTCCTTGAGAT